CAAGGTCATCTGCATATTGTTGAGCCCATTTCATTAGTTATTAAGTATAATTTTTGTAAGATTGAATGTTTATGTTAAAACGCCAGACGGCTGGCCGGAAGGCAAGGAGACAGCCGCGGCTGACTCTTCGCATTCCTCGGCAGTCGATCGAATTGTCTTTAGAAAAGACTGTTTAAGCATCAGTGGAGAGACCCGGTCAGGTTTCGCTTAGCGCGACAAGGCATGTCCGGCAAGATGCCGACCTCAGGGATTTCGCACGCGCAGCTTTCGCAACTTGGGAAAGAGTTGAATCTTGGAATTGGGAAAACAGGCCGTTTCAAGCACTCTGTTTCTAGCAGTTGCCAGAGACGAACGAGTAAAGCAAAGTGTGCCTGTGGAAAACCTTGGGATGGCGCCAGTGTTCTTCATGTGCATCATGTTTAGCGCGGGTGAGTACTTGCCCGTGGTCGGGTCACTGATGGCTTATTAGAACTTCTGGTTTAAATTATTTTGGTGGGTTAATGTGATTTTAGAATGTAGAGGTGTATAAGTGTTTTAATTTGATTATATATTCCATTTTTGTTGTTGTTTGGAGAACTCGAGATTTTGTGACCCTCCTAGTGAAGCATGTTTTTCCACAGCATAGGTTAAGAGATATACACGGACGTCCGATAGGGGGAGAGTACAGTCACTGCCCCTATCCGGGCACAACAATATTTCACAGTTTGAATAATTTGACTTCCTAATTTGAAGTCTCCGAGCCCATCCAGAGCTTCCTTGGTAAGGCATTCGCTGTACAAGTTGAACAGAATTGGTGATAAACAGCATCCTTGTCGAACTCCTCTTCCAATCTGCACACTTCCTGTCTCCCCTCTGTCCAGTCATACTCCAACTTTCTGATCCATGTACAATTTGCTAATCAATCTTCTTTCATGCCAATCGATACCTGTTTCTTTCAGGATCTGCATTAATTTGGTCCAGTTTACCCGGTCAAATGCCTTCTGCCAGTCTATGAAGCAAACACACAGTTCTTCATCTATCTCCAAAGTTCGTTCCGCTATAATTCTCATCATCCCAATTGCATCCCTGGTTCCTTTTCCTCTTCTAAATCCAAACTGATCTTCTCCAAGTACATCCTCTATTTTCCTTTCAATTCTTCTTTTAAGTATCTTTGCTATTATCTTTGCTGTATGTGCAATAAGACTTATTGTGCGATGGTCGCTGCATTTTGTAGCTTTTGTCTTTTTCTTTAAGGCAATCATTGTAACTTCTGTAAAGTCCTTGGGCCACTCTCCACTTTCATATATGGTGTTCATTAGTTTTGTCAGTGTTTTCAAACCACCTTCTCCCAGTAACTTGAGCAAATCTCCAGGTACATCTTCATCTCCTGTAGCCTTTCCCTTCCTCATTTCCTTGATAGCTTTTTCCACTTCACTTTGTAAAATACAAGTACAATGGTCCTTTCCCGTCTGTATCTACTTCTTCCGGTTCAACTTCTAAGGTTTCTGGCCGATTAGGTCGATCATATAGTTCTGTAATATACTTTCCCCAAATTTTCAGCACTTGCCTCTGATCTATTATTCTATTCCCCTGGGAGTCTTCGATGCCAACATTTTGAGTCCCATTTTTCTCTTTCATCCTAGTTCTTTTGTCTTCATGTCCATCAAATCATAACGTCAGATAATTATATGTCGATATAATAATAATATATAAGCACGGGACTGCAATCTTGCAAGTCTGAAGGTATCATAACTGTAATTCTGCGTAACTTAGTTTTAGGCTACGTGCAGGTATGTGTATGTGTATGTGTATCACTTGATTGCAAAAGGGACAGGAAATGCAACTCTGCTAAAAAATAAGCACTATTACTGCTTATTTTTTCTTGAGGGGGGAGGTGTAATATATGCACCTCTTAATATACATATACAGGGTGTCCCAGGAGGAATGGACCAAACTTCGGGAGGGTGTTCCTTATGTTAAAGTATGCCGATATAACCCAAAACACCTATGTCCAAAGTTGAACGGTTACGGAGATAATGGCCAGAGAAATGTCAAACTTTGACCGGTGTTACACACTTGTTGATTACAAAATACATATTAAAACTGGCAGGAATATGTGGATTCTGTAATGTTAATAATGTACGTAACATCAAACTAACTTGTGAGTGACATGAAGCCATAAAATTGAAGTACGAAATACTCGCTCGCCATGTCATAATTGTCCTTAGGGTTTCCAA